CTCTGGCAGAGACAGAGAGTAGATCATGCCAATGGGTGGAGAAGCTCCTTCCTTGAGGTCAATCTTGAGATTGAATGAGTGGTGTGGTGGAAGTTCAGTAGCCTTGTCTTTACTAAAGACATCAGCAAACTCATGATACTCAGGAGGGACTGAGGAGAGGTCAGGAGGTGGAGAAGAAGCAGAGGACACACAAAGCTTCACATCATCAGTGGAGAGCTGTAAGCAAAACTGTCTAGAGCCAGGGAGAGCACAGGCTCTGACATACACAGCAGCATTAATGAGTGAGACAAGTGGAGTGGAGTGCAGCAAGTCTGTTGATCTTTCCACCAGGAAAATTGCTTCCTAAACTGTATGCCAGGTCCTTCAGAAACTCCAGCCAGGGAGGACTAGGCTTTGTGGTGGCCATCCATTAAAGCTTACCCATACCAACAAAAGGGCTATTGTTCAGAAAATCATTACTGGCAAGGCCAAAAATGCTGTCTATACCATTCAATTCATCAATTCTCTTATTGATACCCCTGTCTGCCACAGACTGTTAGAAATAGCCTCAAGGAAGCCTCTGGAAAGGGTGTGGTCAAGAAAAAGAAGCCCTTGCTTTCTAATGGACACAGGAAGAGAAGTCTAGCTGTTGCTCTCAAGTACCAGAATTGGACTGTGGAGGACTGGATGAGAGTTATATCATCAGATGAGACCTAAATACATAGGACTGGGTCAGATGGGCAAGAGTATGTATGGAAAAAGAAGAGTGAAGGGCTAATTGCTAGAGAGATCAAGGGTACAGTTAAGTTTGGAAGTGGTGCACTGATGGTATGAGGCTGCAGAAGGTGGAATGGAGAAGAGGTTTTGAGTGAGGTCGAAGGATGGATGGATGCTGAACAGTATGTGGCCATTTTGGAGTAGGGGCTGCTGCAAAGCTTGGAAGATTCTGGAATTCCAGAAGGTCATATAATCTTTCAACAAGATAATGGCCCCAAGCACACCTCTAGGAGAGCCCAAAGTTGGTTGGAAGAACAGGAAATCAACCTTCTGGGCTGGCCTGCACAATCTCCAGACTGTAATCCCATTGAACACGTTTGGAATCACCCCAAGAGATGCCTCTCAGATTATGAGAGTGCTCCTACAGTCATTCACTGACTGTGGGAAAGAGTGGGGGAAGAGTGGGGGAAGATTGATGAGGAGCAGTGTCAAAAATGGATAGAAAGCATGCCTAGAAGGATTGAAGCAGTTATTAGGGCCAAAGGAGCTCATATGAAGTACTAGATACTTAAATTGATATAAAGTCAAAAAACTGACCACATGAGTCATCATTTTGAAATGGCTGCCATTTGATCAAACCTTATCCAAAACCCTTGGCCCCTGCACCAATAGAGAGCCAATGGTAAGGGCTTTGTTTCATACACTTATAGGTTAGGGCCTAGGTTAGGGGATATGGGGCAGTATTGACTTTAGTGAAAAATGTCCAAACATGTGGTCAGTTTTTTGAGCCACTGTAGCTGTGAGGTTGGAGTCATACAAGGCTGGGAGTGAGCTGAGAATGATGGCTGTGAAGTTGTCATCTGTGATAGACTGTCCAAGTGCAGCAAGTTGTTTGTGCAGTACATGCATCTTGTCAAAGTGAACACAGACATTGCCTTCTTCCACACAGTGAGATTCTTGGAGTCTTCTCTGAAGATCAATTGTGATGACATGGGAGCAGTTTTGGAAAAGATCAGTGAGGACACCCCACACACTCTTCACAGTCTCTTCCTTCAGAACTCAAAGGAACAGTGATTCTGGGAGTGACACAGCAATCACTTGCTTGATGTATCTGTTGTCCTTTGTCCTTTGCCCATTGCCAAAGTGTTTCTGGGTATTTGCAGACAAGTTTTTGCTCCATGGCTATGAGCTTCCAGGAGGAGTCTTTTCCTGCTGAAGGGTCCTCTGGTTTCACATCCAAGCCAGTCAGGTGTCCAATCAGCTCTTTTGAACTGATGGCCCATTCAACCCAAGCCTTGTAGTATAACCAGTTGCTTCCATCCACATTTAGGGTTGGGACTTGTAAGGAATGATTGTCTTTTGCCATGGTGGGTATTGTTGCTGTGTAATAACTCTTCCAGAATTAGAGTGCAAGAGCAGGGCTCATAACCTAACAAAGGTATGAGCTCTCAGTGCATGAAGTAGTCACTACAGTGGCTCAAAAAACTGTCCACATGTTTGTATGTTTTACATTAGTTATGACTAAATGCAATAACCCCTAGCCCTAGCCCTAAACCATGAGTGTATGAAATAAGGTACTTACTCTTGGCTTTCCATTGGTCCATGAATCAAGTGATTTGGATAGGAATTGATAGAATAGCAGCCATTTGAAAAATGACATGTCATGTGGACAGTTTTTTGACTTAAAGTTTTGATTATATATATTGACCCTGGTACACTGTTATATTGTTACATCCATCCATCAAGGGTTCTATTATGTTACCTTTATGTAATGAGTATGATCCAACATATATAAACCCCACCACCCTCTGCTTATTCTCTCATCATCACCATGAAGTCCATTTCCACCTCTCAAAGACAAAATATCATCTCTCTTGCCTCTCTTGGCCTGTCCACTAGGAAGATTGCCTCACAGACTGGTCTAGGGAACTCTACAGTAACCCAGGTTCTTCAGAAAATCCAACCAGAGAGGTCTAGGCTTCATGGTGGTCACCCTTCCAAGCTTTCCTCTACCAACAAGAGAGCTATTATTTAGCAAATCCTTACTGGCAAGGCCAAAAATGCTGTTCAAGCCACTCATTTCATCAACTCAATTGTTGATAGTCCTGTTTCTTCTCAGACAGTGAGGAATACTCTCAAAGAAGCCTCATTGAAGGCTGTGGTGAAGAAGAAAAAGCCATTGCTTTCTACCGGTCACAAGAAGAAGAGGTTAGCCTTTGCTCTTGAGTATCAGCATTGGACTGTGGAGGACTGGAAATGAATTATATGGTCAGATGAGACCAAAATAAACAGGATTGGGCCAGATGGACAAGAGTATGTGTGGAAAATGAAGGGTGAAGGGCTTATTTCCAGAGAGGTCAAAGGTACAGTCAAGTTTGGAGGAGGCTCACTCATGGTTTGGGATGTATAGGGTGGAATGGTGTTGGGGTCTTGAGTGAGGTTGAGGGGAAGGATGGATGCTGAACAGTATGTGGCCATTTTGCAGGAAGGGCTGCTTCAAAGCATGGGGGAATCTGGAATTCCAGAAGATGACATTATCTTTCAACAAGATAATGACCCCAAGCATACCTCTAGAAGAGCCCAGAAATGGCTTGAAGAGCAGGATATCAAGCTTCTAGACTGGCCTGCACAATCTCCAGACCTCAAGCCAATTGAACTCACTTGGAATCACCTCAAAAGATCTCTCTCAGGTTATGAGAGTGCTCCTACAGGAGCTCATCAATTATGGGAAAGGGTGGTAGTGGAGTGGGGGAAGATTTCTGTGGAAGAGTGTCAAAAATGGATAGAAAGCATTCCTAGAAGGGTTGAAGCAGTTATCAAGGCCAAAGGAGCTCATACCAAGTACTAGATAGTTGGATTTTTATAAAGTCAAAAAACTATCTGCATGACATGTCATATTCAGATGGTTTCTATTCTATCAATTCCTATCCAAATCACTTAATTCTTGGACCCATAGAAAGCCAATAGTAAGTACTTTATTTCATACACTTATGGTGTGGGGCTAGGGTTAGGGGTTATTGCATTTAGTCATAACTAGTGTAAAACATGCAAACATGCAGACAGTTTTTTGAGCCACTGTATAATAGTATGTAATGAAGGTATGAGTTCTACATGGCAATGCAAGTCAGATGGCCACAGGTTAAACCCACCCCTTTTAACTGTGATTTCAACATCAGATAAATGTGAACCAAATGCTCTTGTAGCTACTGGATTGCCATGGCTGGCATGAGCATAATACTAGGACTTGTATTTAGCATGATGGGTGTAACTTGATAGCACAAGCTGATAGATGTCTGATGAAGAAAATCAAGTTCATCCTGGGTTTGAATCCTGGACAACCCAGGTACAGCCTCCCAGATGGAGTATCCTAATACTGATAGTGACCTATGTACATTGTGCCATCTCACATGGATAGTGTGTACATCCCATCCACTGTTCAACTCAGAGATCAAACCTGCACTGTCTGGATTTCATCCAGCAATCATCTGCACATCACCCAGGCTGCATCCAGCAAGGAGGCCACCAAACACCCTTGTGTGTATCAGTGGTGTGTATGTACATCTAATCTACTTTTCAACTTGGAGATTGAACCCACATTATCTGACATTCATCCAGTGGTCATCCAGACATCATCCACAGTATATATCCTGCAAGATGGCTGACAAACATCAGTGCATACACCTGTTGGGCTTTGGCACCAGGATCTGTGTACCATAGATTGGGTAAGCATCGCTTATCATGATTACTACATCTCTGGGCCCACAACAACTTGACAGGCCCCTCCTGATCACAATATTATTGGCACCTACCTACACTTAAGTGTGTATACAATTACTGCTGATTGTCAATTACTTGTGCCTAATACATTCAGTCACAGCCATACTGCCTACCCCACAGTAACCATTGACATTCATTGTGGGACAGTAAGCAAGCTTATCTACTGTAGATCTGACTCTCAGGTCATTAGCAGTCACTTGATCTTGAGTGTTCCAGGGGAAGTATTATTGATGGTTGAACACTCATTTCCTAGTGCTGAGACAGCAGAATGTAGGTCATCACAGTGTCCCCTGTATTTTTGTGCTGAATTCTTTTCAAAGGGTGGAGGCCAGTTGGAAAAAATGGATGGACATGCTTGGCATGCTGGGACAATAAAGTCCACTCAAGAGACCATGCAAGGAGGCATGAAAAAACAGACACATTTGAGCTCTGTTCAGTATCATTGTTCTAAGCACCAGGGAGCTTTTGATGCAGGGGGCTGTGTACCAGGTGATGGTGAAAAGTTCCCCAGTACCCATGATCAATCCATGCATGGTATTGGCCTTATTCTTGAGGAGATATCTGTCCCTAATGTGGAGGATGGCTTTGGGGAATACATTGGTGCAGACTTTGGTGAGGGGGGGGTTCAGTTTCAGGGGTCTCTTCTTGAGAAGAGCCATGCACAAATTGCAGCAGCTCTTTCTAGCTTACTTGATGAGGATAAATTATCAGATGAAGAGGGACCAGGGGAGCAAGATGGGGGGACACTGGATAGTAAATCAGAGGTGAATATGTTTATGGGGACTGGAAATGGTATGGGTTACTACTGCTAATGTCAAATTTGTGATTTTTGACCTGAATTTTAGAAGGGGATACTGGAATGAAATCTGATGGATGGATGACTATTTTTTCATATTTGAGCCAGCCCTTTTGTCAAATGGACAGGTTTGCATGCCTATAAGGTGGTTTAAATGTGGAGGGCTTTTTTTTGCCAAGGTATGGTCTCTTCATGCTGTTGTTAATGACACAGGAAGTGGTTGGATAGTTGAGGGGCACACAGAGATTGAAATGTCAGAAAGAAACTTACTGGCATCATTCAAGAATTGGAACATCAGTCAATCAACATCTGTTCTCCCTCCTGCACACAATATCTTAGGTATGTTTCTTTTACTACTACATTTGTCCTACTCAAAACAACTAGGAATTGAAAATAGTCATCAGGCTGGACTGTTGTTGGAACCATGGACACTCACAAACCCACATGAGGGAAATCATTGGCATGTGCTTGCAAATGGAGCTTATGTCTATGGTTTTCCAATCTGGCTTTACTGTGATGATACTTCAGGGAATGTATCAAAACATTAGAACAAGCACCATTCATTCCTGTTCACACCAGCTAGCTTGCCACATGCTGGAGTGCATCAGGAATACAATGTTCACTTCCTATGCACATCTAATGTTGCACCACCCCTTGAAATGTTGGATGGTTTTGTAAATCAGCTTGAGTAAGTTTATGTTATTTTTGGTATTCACTCTGATTTATACATATTTTCTAGGGCTGCTCAAGAGACAGGTGTATGGGCATGGGATTGTGTACACAAGGAGCAAGTGTTAATGATTCCCTCTGTCTTAGCCCTGTTGGGGGACAATCCAATGCAAAGTGAGCTTGCCTGTCATGCAGGGTTGAGGGGAAAATACTTCTGTCATGTTCACAATGTCAAAGGCCATGACACTTAAGACTTGGACACAAATGCTAATGATGAAACACTGGAGCAGAGTGATGGAGAACAGAGTGATGGTCAGAGGTCAGTCAGGAGTGCAGGGGGGGAGTCAGTTAGTGGTAGAAAGAAGGGAAAAGGGAAAGAGACAATGAGTGGTATGGTTTCTCGAATTAAGCAATTTCTGAAGGTATGGGCACATATGACTGTCTAGGCAACTACTTAAAATTCTAACCAAGATTGGTGAACCTCACCAGTGAGAGCAGTCAATAATTGAGCTCAAATCAATGTTTACAATGGCATCTACCATAGGGAATCAAACCAAAATCAAGGAGAAGATGACATCAACTGGATTGAAAGACACATATCTTGAATACTTTATCAATGGGATGGCAGCATCATGTAAGAGGCAGCAGGGAAGCAGTTCAAAGCAGGAGGCACTGGATGTGTTCACCAAGGGACTTCCTGAGAATGTGTATAGCCCAGTGTGGCACATAAAATGTGAATGGCTTGACATGTGACACAAAGAAAAAAATCCTCACAACCCCATAGGACTTAATCCTCATGCAGACACTCCTGTGGAGGTGCTGCACACTGTTCTTTTAGGATTTGTCAAGTATTTCTGGAGAGATGTGGTGAACATCAGGGTTGGCAAGAACAAAATAAAGCATGAACTTCTTGAAGCTTGCCTGTCTTCATTTGATACAACAGGGCTAGGGATACCACCCCTGTCTGGTCACACCCTTGTCCAGTATGCGGGATCATTGGTGGGCTGTGACTTTCATGCAATAGCACAGGCTGCACCATTTGTTCTCCATGGACTTGTTCCACAAGAATGCTATGAGGTCTGGGTAGCATTATCAAAAATGATCCCCCTCATTTGGAAACCAGAAATTGAAGATGTTGATGCTCACTTGGTAAGTGAATAGAACTTCCCCTTTTGTTTATGTAAGACTTATTTCATGTGCCAGACACAACTTGAAATTTCAATTCAAGAATTTCTTGCTCACACTGCATGCTGGACACCTTGCTGGTTCAACAAACCCAAATTTCATATATTGCTCCACCTTCCTGAGCATATCCATCATTTTGGTCCTGCTGCCTTGTTTGCCACTGAAGGATTTGAGTCATTCAATGCAGTCATCCATGCCAAAAGTGTTCACTCAAACTGACAATCTCCATCACATGACATTGCAAAGGCATTTGCTCATGGAAACTGCATTCACCACATTCTCAGTGGTGCTCCATTACACATCCATGCAAATCACCCCAACCTTGGAGTTCAAATAAAGAAGCTGATTGAGAAGCCACCTCTGGATATCCTGAATGCTGGAGATGCTGGAGTTTGGTGGCCTGCAGGCACAGCCCTGCTGACACTTGTTAGTAAACCCAATATTATCACAGATTATCTGGGTATGGATAGCTCCTCTCTGTCAAAGCCAGGATCTTGTGTAAAGGACAACCTGCCCTGGTGTTCATACCATGAAACCAGGACTGGCCAACAATTCCCCACAGCTCTCTCTTCCCTTTCCCAGGAAATACTCCATGACAATAATTTTCATACATGCAGGTCTATGATCTTGGTGAATGGGGACAGATGCATTCTAGGCCAATGGGTTCTCATTCACCAACAGAATGGTCAGCAACCTCTGGTTGCACAGGTGAAGGAGATTATTCAAAGGCAAGGGTCAACTGCAGAGATGACATCTTCCCCAGATGCCATTTTTCTTCAGTTAGGAAAAATACAGGGGTCCACCAGACCTTATCAGATGCCATTGGTGCAGTATGATGATACCAATATACTTCTCCCCATTGAGGTAAGTTTACTACATTTATCCATTCATGATACTTAGTTCAAGTAGCAGTTACTGTGCTCAGTCAACCTTCAGCATTGTTGTGATATCCACAATTGTGCTGCAGCTCACCAGGAAACATCCAATACCTCCCCCAGTATTGTTCACAAGGGAAACCCAAATGATTTTGTGCTAAACACTGCAAAAATGCATGATGCCAAGCACATTCTGCCCCTAGTTTGTGAACCCCTAACTCCACTCAGCACAGATCATGCAATTATGGAGGGTTGTGCTCATGAGATAGGCAATAAAAAATCTACACAATACCCAAACAATATCCCCCAACCTCAGGTGAGCTCATCAGGGCATTCTATTAGGCTGATTAAATAGTAGATGCTACCATTATGCTCCAAGTCTAATAGATGTGTTGTTCATATTACTGGTCATGTGTTCCTTAGTCAGCATATCACTGTGAGTTGCACTGTGATACACCTTTGCGAAACCAGTGCAGGGGCCTTGTTCTTGGATGTGGTGTGCAAACCATCATGTCTTGTTACACCTGTGTACAGCCTTTTGATGATCCTACCAGTCCATGTTGGAAACATGTGGATGAACATGTGGACACCTATCTCAGTTCTAATGTGCATAAAAACTCACTCAGCTGCCCTCCATGGTTCCCCCAGTCTGTTGACTCACTCCACTCATTTCTACTACTGTACCCAAGACCCTCAATGTCTTTCAATTTTTCTAATATCAGGAACTCTCCATCTACTCAGTCTAGTAGTCATTCATTTGCTACTCCATCCACCACCCCATTCACCCATACCCCATCCACCACCCCACACTTCTCCCCTGCTCAAAACAATCCCAATATCAATCCCACCCTTCCAGATGAAGATGTCATCCCAGCTCATTTTATTGATGCCCTCACCAATCAGTTTAGTTTTGGTGATTCTGAGCAGGACCTATGGCATAACCTCCATGGCTTTGCAAAGGCAGGTAACTCTTTGTGACAGAATCATAATACTAATACATTATCAGATGGGGTGTGGCCTCCAGAAAGCAGATATTGCTACATGTTCATACTTACTTGCAGCCATTTTCAGCCTAATCAAGGAAAACTGGGCAATGACCAATGCACACTGCAACACACAACAACTTCTCACAGACCTGCAAATTCAACTCAAAAACACATTTACACTATCACACAAACAGAAGGTTAGTTTATTTAGCACACAAATTCAGCCATTCATCCATTTCTTTCTTGTAGGCTAATGTCCATATTGTTGCTGGAGACATAATTTTTGAGGCTAGCTGGATCACATTTATGACAATCCACTTCGATGTTGAGGTTTGCAACCATATATACTGATTCTAAGTCACTCTAATTCCACCAGTCAAAGGTCCAGCAATCCCAAAAAGAATTACAGTTCACAAATATCTATGGTAACCCAGCACAAGAGAAAATCCTAATGGCATATATCAAGTGGCAATGCTCAAGCATTCATAATTCATTCCAAGAGCTGGTATGTCTCATTTTCTGTTTCCAACTCCATCCTGATTGATTCATTTGTCATAGCTGCAAGATAGTGTCATTGGAGATGAAACATGCACACTCTCTGATTTTGTGTTTGAAAGTGTGCAGTGGTACAAAATTGGTGGCCCCACTTTGGGCCTCACACCAGCATGCACTGCTTGACTTGCTATACTTGTAAGTGGTACATACCAATTACAATTTTTGTATTAATTTTGTGTGTTAGCACTGTTTTGCTTATGAAAATCCTGAGCTCCTTGACCATGAGGAAGATGTTGAGGATGATTCACCACCAATGGAAGATGACTCAGGCTCACAGCACCACTCTGCCCAAGAGCCTCAAAGGAAAAAGTGAAAGCATGGTGGCTGTGTCCCCAGGGGAGAGGATTTCTGGTCACAAGTGGAAAAATGGTTTGATGCACACAGAAAGCAATGGGGTGATTTATGGACCACACCCAACTGGAACAGGTGAGAATACGAGCCATCATACACACAGCAGTCATGCTAACACCTGCCTATGCTCTAGTTACATCAGTAGACCACTTTGTGAGCTGGTAGTCCTAGGGAATTTGTCAGTGCTGGACAGCTCTGGCCAGCAAAAGTGATTTACTGATGTACATCTCAGAAACAATTGCCAAGGATGAAGATCACTACAAGGTCTATGTCATTCACAACCCATTCATGGAAGATGTGCACACAGATGACAGGTTTTTCACTGGGCCCATCACTTCAGCTGGTCTTGGGGCTGCTGAGGATCTCCTTCAAGAAATGGTTTGATGGTTTACATCCATACTGTACCCCATTCAATCTCCTGTTGTCCATAGCACAACACTCCATACATTTTAGTACTGTATGATTAAAGGACATTGTCTACATTGAGCATTACACCCACTTTCATTATACATCACCCAATGTTTGAGCATCCAACTCCACATGTGTGATTGCAGCTGTTGGAGAGTGCATCCTCAATCTCCTCCCCAGCATGTACTCTGCTCAGCATGACATCCACCTGAGAGTTGTCACTGTTTGTCAGCTTGTCATGTGACACATGGTCCTCATACCATAATGCACTCATATGTGATCTGTAGCAGCAGCCAAATGAGTGAATAGATAACAAATTCATGCATTACAACCTGAGGCAGTGGCATAATAATCTGTGGGCCAACTATTCTTCAACCCACAGCTCAGCTACATTGAAACATATTATTTGCTGAGCTCACCCATCCAACATCACAGAGCAAACCTTGTATTCTACTTCAACCAGCAATGACAACCAGCAACAACCAAAATTTGGTGAGCAGAGTCCATTGTAACCACCAGATGGAATTCCCTTTTTAACTGCATTCTCAATTATAGAATATGCTAATTGCATCCACCTATGGTTAACCAGGAGCCAACAGTTTTGCATGCTGGTGTATGCTATGTTTGTTATGCCATGGTCAGGGGTGTTTCCTTTTTTGTCAGTTGCTGACTTTCATCATGGTCATGTGTGTCATGTGCTTCATTGTGACTTTCATGTGGACAGTGGTCCTTGGACTCCTGTACCTTGAAGGAGACCTCAACCCAATTTGTAGAATATATACTACAGGACTATTAGCTGAGTGTAAAGACAGGATGTGGAAAGTGCTCACCTCAGTTGGGTTAAGTAGCCAACTGAGGTGTGAGTATGCTACTCAAGTACAAAAATGAATGTGATTATGTAATATGGCTAAATGTGTACCATAATACTAAGTGAGATGCAGATGAAAGTATAATGTGAAAGACAGAATATACAACACCATTGCCTGGAAACCCATTGATCATCAATGCCACCACCTCATTAAAGTGACTAGTATGGATTCCTTTTCTATTTGACTGATTCTCGTATTTCATATGTTTCATCCTTGACAGTCACAATGACCAGACACCATGCTGCACTCTGATGGCACAGTCTGCATCCCTCATTTCCATGCCTATCCCCATCACTGACTCTTTGTGACTCCTTTCTATTTCACCTGTTTATACTGTGGATTACTGATTGCTTATGGATACAACTGGTATGGTACTCTCTCCAGGATGTATTTAAGTTAGACCTACCATACCATGTATCCTCAGTTTTTCACTACTTTGCAACTCAGCTTTTCTTGATCTCTCCTCACTTCCCTTGTCATGATCCCAACAGAACTTGCCAAACCCAAGGGGAGACTCTGCTGGAGTCATCACAGAATCTGAGCCATAGGGGTTATGACAAGTTCAGCCTGCTAAGCTCATCTGGGACACTCATGACTAGTCCATTTGATGAAGTCACTCATTTTGGAGCATAACAATGTCAGTACCAAGTAAATGAGTGGAAATATAGCTATGCTCACCTCAGTGCACAAAGTAGTCACTGAGGTGGAAAATAATGGTGCAGAAAATTTATAGTACCATAATTACTAAGCACAGTGACATCAGAGAAATGGGGAATGACAGAATTGCAGTCACGACCAGTCAGTGACAGGTTTAAACAGGTTTAAACCATTTTTTTGCATCCTGATGGACATCAAAATTTAATTCTGAAGGTTGGGAGAAATGCTAAGCCCTATGGGAAAAACTCCAAGACACTACTGTAACTCTGAAATGCATACTTGACAATGTCAAGGTTTGTGTGTGCCATAACATTTGTACAGAAGTAGTGGTGATTAGGTGAAGTGCACCATAAGAGGTACCCTTAGGTGGGTGACTGAAGTGCTGCCATAGCTGTAGCTATGATTGACTTTACCATTGAAATCTCAGAGCCCTTGAGAGCAAATCTTATCTTATCTATACCTCAGCAATGATGGCTTGGGTTTCAGAGTACAGTTAGAGCCTCAAATCTATCACTATTATATAATTCTATAGCCTTTCCATAGCCTGTCCACAGCCTGTCCATAGCCCATCCATAGCCCATCCATAGCCCATCCATAGCCCATCCATAGCCCATCCATAGCCATTCCAGCACTACTGTGAGCACCACTATTATCTATAGTTCAGACAAAAGATCCCCCAATCACATGTTGTAAAACAGTACATGATAATACAAGTTAACTGATATTCAAAGATCATCACGTCCTGGATCGCGTCGTCGCTCTCGTAGTCCTGGTTTTCGCACCCCCAGTCTTAGGACCACCACCCTCCTCCTTCTCCCCCTCCTTCGACTTCGCGCCTGCCGTAGTACCCCGTCTCGTGCGAGTAGCCATAGTTGCCGTCTTAACAATCGTCGCGTTTCCAGACGTATCCTGACCGCTAGACGTACTCTCGTCCTCTTTCGACGGCGTATTCTCTTTATCCACAACTTCGGAGCTCACTTCCGGAACAGCTTTCGTAGTCGCCGCCGAACCCGCTTTCTTCCTCGTCGTAGATGTTCCAGCCTTGGTAGCGCCCGTAGCGAGGGGTTTAACTGTCGACGGTGTCGGCGCTCGCCTAGTGCGACCCGCTGGACCAGCAACGCCACATTCCGCCTCATCCCGTTTCGCCTTCATGGTCGCCGTAGTTGTACGCGTCCTTCTTCTCGAGCCAGGTCCGCCTTCTTCAACAGCATGACCTATCGTATCGAGTGGGTCGTTGTCATCCTCGTCAGCTGGTTGAGCAGTCTCACTGGGCGTTGATCTGCCCGACCTCGATCCTGATCCTGATCCTGAACTACCTGAACCAGAACGACCACGTGCATTATTAGTCCCACCACTCGTCGTGGTGCCGCCAACTCTCCGAACGCCGCTCCTCGTCCCCCGCGCAGCAGCAGCAGCAGCGGTCACAGGTACAACAGACGACGATCCCTGGCCTGCTTTCGTTGTTCCCAAACGAGATTTGGGTCTAGCAGCGGCGACAACAGGCTTGTTACGGGTCACTTTCGGCTCTACGACGGCTTTAGGAATCGGTACTCCCTTGGCACAACTTGGAGATCGCTTCGGCGCCGTTGGAACCTACGAAAGGGGCGGTCAATGTTCACGATGCGATACACAGCGCGATGGAAAAGTGATGATACGTGTACTTACGACTTCAGAGTGACTCTCAGCCTTTACTTTCTTGCCTCCAACGGCTTTGGCTTCCGAGGATGCAGATGGTCGCGGCGGATTACACTAAGCATGAAGAAAGGAATAAAATAAAATAAACACGAGCCACCGCAACAGCAGTAGTACATAAAACGCACCTCATCGTTCACAGGTGTCTGCTTCCTCACTCTCAGTGGCTTTGTCTTGCTTGGTGCTGCATCCAGCACTTCGGTTGTGGCGGGACCGGGGATATCATCAGTTGGTACCTCCCCGAGTTTCAAAACAACCGTCCCCTCTGTCGCTGCCACTCCGGAATTCGCATTTAACCTGGGCGTCCGACGCCGCGTCGCGGGGGTCGGCGGCACAGCAGCATGTCCCTGTTCAGTCGCCTTCATCGTCGGTGTCTCATCACCCACTCTGCTCCTCCTTTCCTCCCTCAAAAACATCGTCTTTACCCCATCCATACTCGGCGTCTGCATGCCCTTGCGAGAGATAGGAACGCCTTTGAATAGATGGCGCATGCTCTGCATGACAGGGGTGGCAGCTCCGACATCGTGTTTAGGCTTGGAGAAGAGATGTTTAAGCGAGCCCAGTTGGGGGGTCTGGGGGGATGGTCGGGTTAGGGCTGGAAGAGGAAGATCGGTTGGCGCGTCCTCGTCATTTTCTTGGTTTGACGCTGCTAAATCGGCCTGGGCTCTGTTTTCCGCACCAATATCTGGGGCTGCAGGGACCTCAACGTCCATTGGGCCACCGTCATCACTTTGTACATCACCATTCTCCTTATCACTCTCATCACCCCCAACGTCACTCTTCCCATCTTCTTCCTCCGTACCATCCACTCTCTCATTATCATTCTCCTGGTCGTCTCCCAAGTCCACTCTTGTCCCAACCGTAGACCCACTACTCTCCCCACTCTGCACCAACGCACTTTCGCTCCGTCTCCTCTTCAACCCCTCCACTGTCTGCTTCATCCTATCCAACAAAGACCGTGTGTTTTCCTCGTCATCGCTTTCGCTGCGCCCCTTCTCCTCCCTCTCCTCAATAGAAACACCTACTTTGGCTGGAGAACCAAATCGCATTGCCATCTTCACAGGTGACAAACTTCGACTCCTCCCTTTCCCTACCACGTCCGTTTTCGTTGCATTCGTATTCAAGGTGGTGGCAAACAGCCCCGGCAACGGTGCTTGAGCATGGACGTTTGAATGTCGTGGCCCCATACCCGGAACGTATCCTCCAAAATAAGGATCTGGTGTCCTCAGCGCAGAACGACGTCTTTCTCTTATGGCCTGAAATATCGTCAAGGTCAAATTTATTCCTGAATGAAGTAGAAGAAATGTTTACCTGTTTTTCCTCCTCGCTGAGCTTCCTCCGCTGAGGGCTCAGAACCCCCATTCCCACCTGCTCCTCCTGCTTCACCTTCCGTGGAGACACATGCAGCATGTCCGTATCTGGATCCATCCCCCCTTCCTCTTTCTCATCCGGCACTGGCACGACGATATCTGTGACCTTCCATTTGGGTTCGACGCGGACTCTTTGTGGTCCGCCAAGTCCAGCAGAGGAAGAAGAGGAATATCCTCCAAACGAATTTCTCCCAGCACCTCGGCCCACGCCTGTAGTCAGACTGACGCGCGAGATTTGCGGTGTCATGAACGTTCCCAGGGGTCGGTGTGCGGGGGAAGCGTCAGTTAAATCGGATTGTTGGGGGTCTTCGGTGGACAGAGGTGGCGCCTCCTGATCGACGTCCATCTCCGCCTACGAGCCTTCAGTATATATCCTCCAAAGGCTTGCAACAAAGGACAGACAACTTACCTCTCCATCTTCAAGCTTCTCGTGATTCTCGTCATCCTCAGGCGCAGCAGAGGACGAGCGGAACGGCCACCCGAGGCCTTTTACCAAGCCTAAACCCTTGCGCCATCCAGAGGATAGATCCGTTTCCTCTGTCTCCTCGTCCCTGTCTTCTTCTTCCTCGTCTTCCTCCTCGATCTCTTGAACATCCTCAAGGTCATCCACAATAACCTCTTCTACCTCTTTCTCCTCCAACTCCTCTTCCTCCTGTTCGATTTCTTGTCGCAACACTGCACGTTGCGCCGAGCGAATGAGAACGGCACGATGGAGTGAGGGACGGGCAGGTTTGCGATGGGGTGTTTGGTACATGTTTGGGTTGGACGTTTGGACATTGACTGGACGACCAAATGCGCCGAGGCGGTGTGGTGTGGCGGGGGGTGCCGCGGATTGTTGAGGGCGTGGTGAGAGGGGAGGTTCCGGGACTTCGACTTCGACGGATTCGAGTATGACGAGGTCTTTGTCCTCTTCTAGAACGTGGGGATGATCACCATCCACGAGGACAATTTCTTCCTCTGCTTCATTCCCGTCTCCATCATTCTCGTCGGCGGCATCAGAATCGGAAGAAGAGTCGGAATCCTGTCCATTGTGTGCTCTCTGCAGAGTCTGGTATTGCTGTTTTAGCGGGGATGACCCACGTCTCTTCAATGGTGTCTGCAAAATCCTCAAATTCTCCACTGGATCTGCGTGTTTGCCTCTGGGCGTAAATACTTTTGCACTTCTGATCAACGACATTCTCAGCATCTTCTTCCTCGTCCTAGGTGTCATTTCGGCGTCAGTATCCACTGATGACCCGGACGCGTTTTTTGTGGGCGAAGGTGAGGAGTAGAGTGCTGCACGCATTTCCTTGGGAGGATATGTAAACACAAATCGTTTACCGCGTATTTCGAGAGTGGAATTGTTTGGTACGGGTATAGTAACTGGAAGTAAAGGATTCTGGGAAGGGAGAGCTAGACACCCGTCGACGAGTATACCTGATGCACCTAGCACAACGACAAACGCCTTCCAGCGGCCAAAATGAGAGTTAGTGTACACACAACTAAGGATATCCGATGGCACCTTTTTCTCTTGAAAGATCAACTTCGCGTGTACTGGGCTCACTGATGAGTAGTACAACCTGACGCTGCAAGACGGGTCGCGTCCGAATGTGACTGTGTCGTCGTCAATGGGGAATGCGGCGACTGGCGTGGCTGGGTCGACGCGTTTCATCAGTCGCAGCGTGCCAAACCGGCCAATCTCACTCGGGTCCATCGCGCTTGCTTATTAGTTGGTTTGGTCGAGTCTGCTCCGCGGTTCCAACACGCTGTGACACCTTTATCACGTGATATACAAGTCATGTGACATATCACCAGACATGTCAGATCACGAGTTGCTAGAGGAACCTACCTCGATGGCCGACGATCTGAGGATATTATTGGATTTGAATGGCGGCGTATATGAGGGGGTTTCAAGAGTTTCCTTAGGTGCGTTTCTTCTGTTTCTTTTTTGCCTCTCAATATCCATGGTGTCAATTCCGATTAAAAATATGTACACGACAAGGGAGATGGGGTAAGTGATTGTCGTGTCTGTGGGTAGCCCACCCGATTTTAACCGCTCCAGGCTACGCTTTCGGTACGTGTATCCGCTAGACGATTTACTTGCTCGCCCACCGATTGCGGATGTGCACGGCGCGCAAATGGAGAATTCGACGAACGGACTCTTGTCTACTTTGCAGATAACCCTTGGCATCTACTCGAGGCTTACGTCGAGAACTGGAGGGTGCATATCGCGCGGGTGGCTTTGCTGTCCAAGTATGTTTGCACGCCTTTCTGATCTACCACACGATTTGGTTGATACCCGGATTAACAGGGTCTAGGCACACTTCTCAGTCACAAGATTGACGGTGATCACCATAACGTCGTAGGCTTTCCTTGGACGCCATTCTTTAAGATGTTGGACATTTTGGTGCAGGAAGACGACGATTTCCTTGCAATTTGAGATTATGTTGTAAGGGAGTGTCTTACACATGGGTACGTGCTATATATCTGTGTGAACGTTCAACGAAGCTAGCTGCGGTGGCATATTGATATCAGTGGAGCTATAAACGGGGGTAGTTGTCTCTCCCTGCAGTTCTGCCCAGCGTCGTGGCGGTGGCACGAACCGAGTCCGCAACATGGGCTAAGAACTTCCTACCGCGATTAGCAGATCGGCGACGCAGGCTGCTGCCCTGAATGGGCAACAAGACTTTCCCACCTTGGTTTTCCGTGAAGTCGTGCAACGGCACAAAATAATACAATGTTTGTGCAAGTCTTCGCTCGTCCGAAGTGGAACCAAGGCCAAGTGACACTCAGCAAGCGTGTCGACGTATGTCTCGTTCGACGTTGAATGACGGCCGCCAACGCAGGTTTTAAATTTCAATTATGGGCCTGTCGCGCAGCTCGCTCTCATCGGTCCACTGGGCAAACTCCTTTCATATAAATACGCACATGTTGATTTGCAAACAGCCTGACATCGACACTAGGTCTCCGCGTACAGCGCAATGAAGCTATCACTTATCTTCCGCGTGGCAGCTGCAGCAGTTTCAGTTTCGGCTCTGCCTGGCATCGAACGTTCATCTTTGCGATCCTCAACGCAAAGGAAGAACTGACGACCCCCTTTGCCAGTTACTCCGCGCACCTCCAAGTATGTGTGCTGCACATACCTCGATATTGCCTCCGATCCCATTATTCAGTACTACTTGGAGCAATACGGCATTAGTGGTGTACCCAACGATGCGATTGTTGGGCTTGGGTGCCGCAAGCTGATGAAGGGGGGTACATGGTCAGCCATTTTTTCTGCGGGCATAACGTTATATATATTTTTCACCCTCCATGTCAGTTCATCATCCACGCAACTGGGGTGGTGCGACTTGAGTTCTTACGTTGCACCTCACATTTATACGTCATGCGAGATGAATGGTAAGTCCGTTGTCACCAGCTTCTCGACTCTACATCTAATCAAGAATGAAACGATATGGCTGGCCTCATGCAACAGTAGCCCAGCCGGATAGTTCTTAGATTTCGGATGGATACACTTGATGGCCGTGATGGCATCCTGAAATGAATAGCCTGATACCGACCTGCGTTGACAACTTCTCTACGATTAACTCGTCTCTAATACGTCCGGTTTATTCGGGGGCATCAAGTTCAAGGTAAGGGTTTTTCCGTTGTGCAGACAACTCGAGGTCGTCCATGTCAACGACGAATATTTTCTCACCAACGTGACCGCCACGATTGACTTTGGTATGCGAAATACGGTTGTCTGCAGGCTGATCGAGCTCTGCAGATCAGATGAAGTGTGGCTCAGAAGGACCGCTCGTTAAACAGGTTTGAATTCCATTTAGAGCCTCACAACGTTGCTCGTTCTCGTCGGTCAACCGAGCCAACGCTCTTAAGTAAGATAAATATACACGTGTTGAGCTGCTGACAGCCTGAAACTGACATCCGACCCCCACACATAGTGCAATGAAGTTGTCACTTTTCTTCATACTGGGAATTGCAGCAGTTTCAGTTTCTGCTGTGCCTGGCATCGAACCTTTTCCTTTCTATCCTGAATGGCCGGTAAGGATTGACCTCTCCCCCTTGCAAGTTACTCCGCGCGACTGGAAACGTGTACGTTGTAACACCTCGGGTATGTTTCTGCTTCCGTCATTAAGAGCTGGAAAGAACGACGTCGCGCTTGGGTTCGAGTGCTGCAAGCTCAAGGCGGGGGTACACGGTCAGTCTTTTTTGTAGGCATACTAATATGTACGTTATTCGGCATCCATGACACTGGGCCTCACATTTATACATCGTACCAGTTGTACGGTGAGTGCGTTATCGCCGTCTGTTCGGCATTAATGTCGTACAATAACCCTCCAATATTGAAAAGATGTTCTACATGATCAAGCACTTGGCTTCATGCAAAAAGCACACTAGTACTGTGGTATGTTCCTTGGATGAATCCACTGGATCATCGACCATGATGGCATTTGCGTAGATTTGCGTCCCGAGATACTAGTTCAGTGTATTTCCGTGCTAGAAAACCTAAAGCTGGTGCAAATAAATGTAATCACACGTCCTAAACGGAACAGTATCAACGTACATATGCCCAAAAGAAATTAACTGTTCTCTAGAAGGTGCGCGGTCGAGATCAGGCTCGAACCACTCCAAATCATCAGTGCTTGTGCACAATGTACTAATCTATGCCTGCAGACAATGTGACTAGTCCAAATCAACTTCGAACAACTGCCTATGGTATGGATTGGCGATTGCTGTGGCCTTGAATTCATTGTACTGGTGGACCGTCCGTAGCTAGTCGACGGCGTCGTAGAGGAAGCTGTCAGGGAATACCATCTTCATCTGCTTCTCAATCCACCAGTAGGGAGTGAGGTATGTAACGTCGATCTCTTCGAGCTTGCCGGCACCAGCGACGATCAGCCCAACAAGCCGGCCCTTCCAGTCGACCACTGCAGCGCTAGAGTCGCCGGGAGCAGAAAATGCACCGTCCTTCCTGCTGTAAGGGTACACAGCGATCTCTATCGACGTCTTCTTGATGTCGTACTCGGGGTAGGTGCGAACGAACGACTCCATGCTGCTAAGGCGACCGAAGGTGGTGCCTGTGGTCTTTCCGTTCTTGACAACAATCAGACACTTCTCGCCGTTGGCATCGAGCTGCTGCGGCTTGTGGATCTCGTCGTCCTCTACGACCCCTCTGACCTGGAGGAGCTGTTCGAAGGGATACATGCAGTTGGACCGGTCCTCAGGGTGAGGGTGCATCTTCATGATAAAGTCGACCATCGAAAAGTTGCCGCCTATATATATATAAACACTAAAACTGGGGACAGTGTTGCCAAGATAAGATGGAAACGTACCGACAAAAATCTTGTTGCCCTGAAAAGTGTCTCAGTTGATCTTGTCGCGGTAGAGATTGATTAGGGCCCAGTCCCGGGCGGAGTGCCTGGGACCGTCGTCGACAGCAATGGGAGGGGCTGTGGACAACGTCACCGATCAGCGCGCTGGCTCAGAGATGACCAGTGCTTGGTGACCTCGTCATGGATCTTGTTTACATTGTCGATCATCCAACAGAAAAGGCTTCAGAGTCGACTGAGGGTTGTTCTGTGGGGGCAAAAACCTGCTAGCCCAGCGGAAATGCCTCCCCTTCATCGCTCTTTCATCCACAGTCCTTCATCCAACTTAATCAACCACACCCCATTGTACAGCGGACACCGTTGTCTTCACGCATGCCCTGCACGCGATGATGGATGATGGGGACAGGTACGCGCCAAGAAACCGGCCTCGAAGGCCCATAATTCGAGAATGTTGTTGGACTTGAATGGCGGCGTAGGTGAGGTGCTTTCGGGGGTGTCTTCCTTCTGTTTCTTCTCGTCTCCTAATGTCCACCTCCCCAGTCCGACAATCCCTCCCTAGTAGATGTTCCAAATCTCAACTCACATCCACCAAGTAATATCTGCCCGCTCTGCCTTCTTAACCATTACTTGTCGCACCTGAACAACAAAACCAAAACTCTACCCCCAGAAAAATCCCGTCGTCTCCGTCTCGCGCGATCTTCAACTTACATGTCAGTTTATTGGCTAAGTATATAACAAACTGCGAATTTTATACGGCTGTTCCGGTAAATGGGCATACCGGAGGCGTTCGTGGTTTCCATTCGCCGGCCATCAATATGGGCGCATACAAACATATGCATACCCTCCCTGGCGGATAAACGAACCTCCAGGTGTACGAGCATATGTATAGCCAAAACTGGCTCTCCAATGATTCTTATGGGTTCCAAGTCAGCGTCTCGACCACGCTCCATACCGGCAGACGGATTCTAGTCGTCAGCTTCTCACCCCTTCCAACTTCGAAATGTTCTGGTGATCAAATGACCACCATCCGATAAATACACACTATTCTTCGTGTTGATTCTGGGATAGATTCTTCGATAAAGTTCAGGGGGTCCTGTCGTCAGGTTCAGGGTATCAGTTAGGTTTCTCGCAGCCCATACATGCGGCCTTCTACCGTCCGCATGAGTCTTGTATCGTTATATAATCAACCAGGAACAAAAACACGGCGGCGACCCTTCCTTCACACACAATGCAGCGTACAATGCCTATCGGCTCGGCTTGCAGCCAACCGGCAGATCTGTGATGCGCCCGCCCCACAAGCCATCCGGTCTTCTGTGCAGAAAGTAAGTATTTGAATTAGTCACTAAAAGTTGCGCAGAAGCAATGCGACACATCGCAAGACGAATGGTAATAATGACTCATGCACATGCACCATGCGGCGATCCGGTTGTGCTACGCCATGTTACGACAGTGATCGCGGTATCCCAATGGAGTGGGCGACGAGCCATTGAATTCAGAATCTACCATAGTGAAATACATAATGGAACGGGGTATATAAGGTGATTCACCTTGAAGGCTGACCTGGATGAGCACCTAGGACGATATCTACTTCGAGTTACACTCCTCTGCGGGCTGCATCTCACACCATGAGCACCGTCCCTTTCATTTCACAACTAAAGTCGCTGTGGCAAGCCGTCACTGGCGACACCGCAGGAGCAAAGAAAACGCAGGAGCAATTCCTCGACGCGTGGACGCACCATCCTGGCCAACAGATCTCCGAGCTCGCCGATAACATTCCCATCGTCGGCCATGTGAAGGGCAGGCCATGGGTCGTTTCTACTCCAAGAACACTGTCTGAAAATATGTGATTAGGTCTTGTCCATCTCGCTTTGGGCGACACAGAGGCATTTGTTCACTCTGAGGAGGCCGCGACCCGTACCCTAGCTGTCATTGGTGCGGGCGCGCTCACTGTCGGCACAGGAGGTGCAGCAGCGCCAATCCTTGCGGGTGTTGCTGCTGGTATCGCGGCAGACGCAGCAATCACAGGTATAAGCGTCTCACATCTCCGGGGCGCCAGAGTGCTTGTTTACATCCCATTAGGGATCGAGTTCGCACGGCACCAGAAGTATGAGCCTCAAGGTTACCTCGGCGCAGTCTCTGAGTTCAAGTCCGACTGGCGAGGAGGAGTCTTTGACGTCGCCGCACTTGCCGTGGGTGACGCAGTCCTAGGCTCTGAAGGATCTATCACGAAGGCTAATTACAAGACGACCACTGTACGCTTCCTTAATCGAAGCTTCCCCTTACAGTTATCAATGATGTTCACAGGTATTCCGCGTCGAAGGCGAAGGCATCTTCCTCACCAAGCGGGGAATGGTCCAACATGGCGCCAACAGCCGTATCTTCTCCGGCCCTGGAGGTCGTGTCATCGAATCTCCGAATATCCTTAAGCTGATCGTTCCTCCTGATGAGGAAGAGAAGGTCACATTCAAGCGTCCTGCAGTACTCTGTCTAAATGTTGGCGATGCCTCACGCGCGGAGACGTACTATGCACAGAAGCTCCTGCAGTACCGTGAAGCCGCAGAGAAATTGAAGAATAACGTGAATGCTACTACCAGTGAGTGCGACCCTTGTTCTCCTGCGTTTCACTGCTCGAACCACCCCGTCTCTTAATAGCCTCTCTCCCTCATGCTACTGAATTCCAATTCAAGATCAAGTCGTTCCGTATTCTCAGCAGCGACGCGGAAAGGATGCTCCGCTGACGTTCCCAAAGACGGCGAACCCAGTCCTGCTGGCGTGCGCCGTGTCGACATTACCAAGACGTCAAAGTCATTTGAGTGTCCTCAGCCAGTTTACTCGCCTCTAATCGAAATGGCGATCCCGGGCACATTCGAAGAAGCACAGCCAGCCTGGTTACTGCATCTTCCAACGCGCTTGCTAGAGGCCATGAGGGACCACCAGGTCAGCTAATTGCTCCACAACACCCCCATCATGTCAACGTTTACTCAGACGGTTGTCGTTTAGGTCGCATACGGTCGCGTCAGAACTGTTGTTATTGTGGCGTCCAAGTTCACGAAATTGTCCCTGGCCTTAGAAAAGAAGATCACTGACCAAGAGTTTAATCGGCTTCAACACGGCCCAGTCTCGCTGTCCGCTCTCAGTCAACAGGGGGTTGATAGTACTGAGGTCAGAACGGAGCCTGTCCGCCGTCTCCGCCAGTCTCGCGAGGTCAAGTGTGGTCGCAAGGTTGTCGGTGACATCGATCACGGCCGGCACATGGAATACCTCGCCGAGTTCAGTGATGGATCTACCTCATGGATTCCTTCGCACAATGTTGCGTTGGACCTGAAACAAGAGTACTGGAAAGTAATGACGTCTGGAGCGAAGGAGATCGCAGAGATAGTCAACTCTGACTCTTCGACTGGCAAGGTGACCGTCAAGCGACCTGACGGCACTACCGAGGTGATCGATCAGACCAAGATCTTCTGGCACGAAGAGAAGACACCAACTATACTGACCGATGCAGAGCTTGATGCGCTTTTGCACCACGGACACTTCGGCATTGACGTTCCTGACTTCATGCCGTGCAATGTGACTATAACTACGGATTGGGCGAAGGTGGAGATTTTGAGTACCGGTGCTGCTTTTATGAAGGATCCTGCGGCAGAAAAAGCTGGTGAATACGCAGGCGTCGAGTTCGATGGGCGGTCGATACGACTCGGTAAAGCAGACTCTTACGACTTCGTTTCCCGCAATATTCCGTGCGTGCTTGGTGCTTTAGTGACTGTCTCGGTATGATTGCTCACGAAGTTGATTGCATAGACTGTTCATTGTCGGCAATGGTGCCCTCTTGGACATCAAGGTCACACACGGAGCTGATGCCACTCGGGCGGGCGATCGCCTGGGAAAAGTGGTCCTCAGCCTCCCAGATGTGAGTCTTCATTTCGTCGCAGCATTCAGCTTAGTTATCTGCGTCTCTAGGAACGTCTTGAGAGTCGTGTCAATCAAAGCGACATTAGGTTCAATCCTAGTACTTTCCACATCCGTGTGTTACTCTTTCGATTGTGTGTTGTCATTTCCACGCTGAAGCACGCACAGGCCCTGTCATCGTTACAGCTGGTCTGCTCAGTGTCGAGACTGACTGGGGTGCTATTGAGATCAATAGCAAGGATGCCACGATTGATCCTGACCCAACCGTCGACCAGAGCATCTACAAGAATGTCACATTCACACCTACCTCGATGAAACTAAACACAGGCGTCTTCGACAAGAAGTTTGTCATCCCGTGAGCTGTCTGCTTAGATTCTCGTAGCATTGGGTTTACAGTGAATGCACAGCTTCCTCTTCTTGACTCGGGACGAGAAAATTGACATCACCATCACGCATGGTCGTGACAAGAGCCGCTACGAAGACAAACTCGGACAGGCTAGGGCCTTGTTTGGACAGGTACATTCTATGCCGTCGAGCCAAATAAAATACTCATCTCGGCTGGCGACAAATAGAACACCTATACTAGCTCATACAACCCCAGAAATATCAGGGACAACCCAACGTCGTTCACGAACTGTAAGGTCAACGGTGAGACATTCGCACTTCATTCATGTCGAATGCGTGGCATTTACACCTATGCAGCGCGGCCGCCTCCTGTTCCATTGTAATACATTAACCAGCAAGTTGCTGATTGTAGTCCAGAAGAATGGGAGTCATAGAAGCTTGTTTAGTATGTATGTACTTGTATCATGGCAGGCAACTGTTTTGTATAGTGAATAACCTGTAAATTGGTATGGTCGGGGTATTCTCAGACAGCAGAGTCCGGACATTTTGTGTGGCCATACGTGTGGTGTCTCCATCACGTGACAAATGTCCAAATTAGGTATGATTGTGACATATTACTACCAGCGTGACAGAAATACAGAAATATTATCGACAGCACTTACTTGCGACGATGGCAGGTAAAGCACAAAAACCAAAGCCCACGCAGTCTGCGCTCGGTGCACCCTCACAACTGGCACAGGCAAGTAGAAAGGGGAAACGGGCATGGCGGAAAAATATCGACATGCAGGGTGTTGAGGACACCATGGAAAGTTTGCGGGCAGAGGAACGCGTGATCGGGTGCGTATTCTTCGTGGGGGGTCTTGTATGTGTGTAGACGATGCATCCTGTGCAGGTCGACGCTACAGAAGCAACCCGACGATCAGCTTTTCGTGGTCGATACTCGCGGGGACGAACAACGTGCGTCTCCGCAGATCTGCGGGTGTATTTTTGCTCATTTCTGCAGTCCGAAAATCCTTACCTAGATACTCCAAATCTCAACTCACATCCACCAAAATAATATCTGCCCGCTCCGCTGTCTCAGCCATCACTTCCCGCACCCGCACAACAACAAAGCCAAAACTCACCCCCGCTGAAAAATCCCGTCTTCTCCGTCTCGCGCATCGACCTCGCAAGGGGCCTTTCAACGCCGTAATGGACCCAACCGAACTCGGTGCGGGAAGTGCACCCATCAATGTAAGTCACGCCGTTCGAGAGAGCGGTACACGAGACTTGTGGGCGTCTACGGTGAAAGAAGGCGTTCCCGATGGGTTGGAGAGTGTCAAACCGGCCGCGGTCAAAGTTCGTTCTCCTTTCTTGTTTCATCCGAGTGCACGGATGAAATAAGTATGCATATACCATATAGAAACCAGATACTGATCACCTCCGCAACATCATCGACGCTCTAGCTGTATCCCTCCCTCTCGAAGGCGCATCCTACAACCCACCCGTGAAAGCGCACCACGACCTTGTTCTGCAAGCATACGCCGTCGAGAAACGTAAACAAGACAAATTGGATAATTTAGCGAGCTACCGCGAAAAAATCGAGCAGGCGAAGGAGAATGCGGGCGACGTAGAGGGTGTCCCAATCGGTATGATCCTCGATGACGGGGTTGCAGATAGCGAAGACGGTGATGAAGGAGAAGGAAAAGGATGATGCAGTCGCGCAGAGACGGAAGACAGGAGAAGAAGACGAAAACAGCAGCGTGCAAGGATGATGAAACTGAAAGCCGAGGTAAACGTGCCGTCGACATGGCCGTGACCCGTTTCCGCTCACAACCTTGCATAAAAACAGAAACAAGCTCTCGCCGAAAAAGCCCTTCGCAAACGTCTCCTACACGGCATCAACTCTGTCAAATCTCTCCGATCCCAAATTGGCAAAACTGCCAAAGCGCAGAACGAAGCTCGACTGGCACGCCAACTTGCCGCACGTCTCCGACTGCGCAAAGGGTTAGCAGGGCGTAAGTTTGGCAAACATGTCGTCCCTGAGAGTCGAGTCGACGTGCAGACCTGGAGAAGAGTTGAGTGAGAACTTGAGGTCACTCAAGGTGCGTGTTGTTGGGCTACCCTGGCATAGAGCTGCGGGATTTCCTGATGGACGAGCAATGTGAAAGCCTGAGGGAAATCTGTTCCGCGATCGATTCGTGAGCCTTCAACAGCGAGCGTTGGTCGAGCCTCGCGTTCCCGTGTTGTACGTCTCTCCATCGTCCATTGTCGAGTTATTTATTTATTTTCTGCAGCCCTTCGAAACGAAGAGCAAAGCCGATTCTGTACGAGAAGCATGCTTACAAGCGGTTCCAGTAGTCCTTTGTTCGTTTGCTTGTACAACGTTGGGTATTACTTTGTGTGCAATATATATAAAAAGGAAAAGACCTGATATGTACTGGATACCAAAGCCCTCCGGGCGCTCCTGGACGCATTTGGGGAAAGCACGTGATGTAGTTTTACATTTACAAGCGACTCTACAGGTGATTCTAGGGTCAGTTTACGGATTCGAGTGAATGCGTGTCCAAGTGTACATAAGAGATTAGTACTGTGGGGGGGACGATATCGAACGGAAAAGTCTACGGGGCACGTGTTTATGTTCTCTATGTGGAACTGGTAGATTACATAACTGTCATTTATAGGAGGATGTTTTCATGCTTAGAGGACGACGTACGAGCAATCTTCGATGATGCGCAGGAAAGGAGGCATCTCCCTCTCCGAGCGGTTTTAAGCTGTCGAAACACGTACAACGACGACGGACAAGCAGCCGGACACTCGTGAACGCGGAGGGCATCGACACACTCTGTGAAATGCCGCAATAGATTTAATATCCTTCAACGTCAGGAAAGGGGTACTGTTCCACAAACTCGCACACATGAGTCTGCGCGACATACTAAGCAACGATCCTCTAGGGTACACAGACTCGGCAGTAAATTCCTGTAGCTGATAGCAGCAACAACGCTGGCACCAGCCGCGTCAACACACAAGCGGCACACGCCACTGTCCATGGTCGTCTGCACGACGTTTATCTGACATGACGTGTACAAACAAAATGCAAACTGCAGGAACCCCAACGCAACCAGTCCCCCCCCCCCCTAAAAGGAAATCGCACGTGATCGACTTACGGTCGTATGATCGTTGAGGACAACGAGTTGGCCTGACGGCGTCCAGGAATAAAAAAGGCCTGTGGACACTGTGGGAATTGAACCCACGACCTCACGCAGTCGAGTGTGATGCGAAGCGTGCGCGCTACCAACTGTGCCAAGTGCCCATTAGGGGATGGGACTTAAGTAGGAGTTAGAAAGGGGTAAGTAATCCAAGTGATAGCTGTCATTGCATTATCGACGACGAGTGCGACGACGATGGCCACGATGGAAGTCGACGAACAGCAGCCATCCAGACGACGGCCCGTGTTTACGATCGACGACGATCACCCCTTCGACCTCGACGCCTACATTGCACCCTACACCGGCCGCACCGTCATCGACAGACTCATCGCCATCATCGTCCGTTGTCCATCCATCGCACCGCACGCGCTCACGCTCGCATTTCAACATCTCCATCGCCTTCGCGATCCGTCGCTCGTCAACACAGTCATCGGCGCATATGAGAACGTACTCGGCACTCAGGAGGGTAAGGGGTTGCCGCCCGCTGGCAGACGTAGTCAGCGTAGATGTGGAGTGGGTAGAAGAGGTCACGAAGCGGAATGTGGCGGAGAGAACGAAGCTCGAGGTCGAGCTCAAGACGTACACGAATAATATGATCAAGGAGAGCATTCGCGTGAGTGCCTCCTGGCCTTGTGCCCCTGCGCTGACGCAGATTCAATGGGGATGTTGTAGATGGCCCACAGAGATCTCGGAGACTTCTTTCGATCGACGGGTGAATTTGGGCTTGCATTAAAGCACTACACGAAGTCTCGCGAATTCTGTTCGACAAGCCAACACATCCTTGATATGTGCATGTCCGTACTTGAGGTAATGTCCCATTCACCCCTTACCCCAGCTATCTTTATACATATGCACACCCTGTCCGTCGCACAGCTCGCCATCGAACAGCGTAACTACACACACATCCCCTCATACGTTTACAAGGCCGAAGGTGCCCTCGAGTCTCTCACAATAGGCAGCGCAGTCGCCAGTGTAGTAGCCCCTTCTTCCGCTAGCACGTCTCAAGTACCTCAGGGATTCACGGCAGCTGGAGCCAGCACGACCAGCGGAGGAGGCATCAGTGCATCGTCAATGGCAGGATCGGCAGGCGGATTGAGTCAATCTTCCCAAAGTAGAAAATCCACCGATCGAGATCATATACAGACCAAACTTGAGTTTGTATTAGCACTATCCCATCTCGGGACGGGTGCGTATGATAAAGCTGCGACTGCCTTCCTTAAACTCGGCCCTCCAGAACAATTGGGAGATTGGATTGGAAAGGTGCGTCCCTTTGGCTTCCCCTGTGCAGGTTGACCGACACATAACCGCGACACCCACGACCTCACCGGCGACGATAGCTTGTTGCACCTAGCGACATCGCAATCTACGGCACTCTTTGCGCACTCGCCTCTCTCCCTCGGTCGTCCGTCAAAGCCCAACTCGTTGACAACCCTATATTTGCAACGTACATCGAACAGGAGCCGTACGTAAGAGAGTTGGTTCAGGCATACATGGCAAGCGATTTCAAGACGGTGTTGGATATCCTCTCACGGAATTCGGTATGCCCCTTTCCTCTCATCCTCCCTCTAACTCACCCACCCACACCCAATCAGATCCGGCACAACACAGACATCCACCTCTCCCTACACACCCCCGAGCTCACCAAGCTCATCCGACACGTCTCGCTCGTGCTCTATTTTATGCCATTCGAGACAGTCAGACTCGAGAGGATGGCAGAGGCCCTGGGGTGGAGTGTTGAGGAAGTTGAGAGAGAGGTTGTTGGGTTAATTCAGGGCGGAAGAATCATTGGAAGGGTGGACAGCCGGGGAAAGGTATGTATCGCCACTGTGGCGACCGCCCTGTTAGTGGTTGAAGAGAGCCCTCGCCGTGTACGCACAGGTCCTTGTCGCCAAGAAAACGGATCATAGAGCGGAGTTGTTTGCCCGCGCAATGAAGATGGCTTCGGAAATGGAGAAAACGAATAGGAAATTGTTGCTTAGAATGCGGCTGTACGTCTTTTTTTTGTTATTGTCGCTCTCCTTTTCTTTGAACGGGCTTCCTAACCGACGATAACAGACAACAAGCCGACCTCGTGGTCAAAGATCCGAAGACGACACGGAGGGAACATGATCGAGGGCTTGAGATTGCGTTAGGGGATAGCATGGTGTGAGGATCGACGTGGTAGCACAATGTGCCGACGAGCGAGTCCGCGTGAAGCTAGCATTCACTTCGAAATGATTGCGTATATGGGGACGGTCGCAGCGAATTGCATATGCACACACGCCGCCCGTACTTACCCATACCTGCACCGTTCTCTGGCGCTGCGGGACGCTCGGCATTACAATATAGTACAAGCAAATAGATGACCAGTGGTGTGTACGTACAGGAATCAAAACCCGTTCCACAACAATCTACGAGCATCTGTTTACGAGCGCTGGTAAGTATAATGTTACATTGAGAGCAGATCTGCAACTTGTTAGTTACGCTTGGAGCTTCTCCGCAAGTTGGTTGTTTTATCATCAACCATTTTCTTTTGAAGTGAAAGCGCTTTCTTTTCGTCCCCTAGACGCTCCACAATCGCCCACGCTGACTCTGGAGTGTTGTCAAACTTCTCATGGCGGACCTTTCCTTGGAGTTTAAACTCATTTTCCAGTCGGTCCTGCAATATGGTGCGACGTTTCGAGCCGACCTGATCCCACATGGTTGATACCAGTCGCAATCGATCGATAGCTTCCTTCCCGCATACGTCAAGAACGAACCGGAAGTTGCTTATGTCTTCCCGCACCAATTCGTCAGCCGCGCAGACGGTGTAGAAGACACCTGTAAGCCTGATAGATCTCTTGTATCTGCTCAGTACAGATTAACTTTAAGCGAGATCGAGTAGGCAAGTTGGCTCACAGTAATATCAATAGTTGTTCTATCGCTTTAAAATCGAACTCATCCAATGAAGGTGTATCTATGAAAACGAAGCGTTTTCCGTTATGGACGCTTGCGAAGGCGCCGGCAATTTTCGTGCAGGTCGCTTGCGAGTTTGCACCCGGTTCCGGTGGTATCCCAGTAAGTTTATTGATGAACTACATCTCATGTGAGTGACGATTCAACGTGAACAGTTCACTATCAACCTACGTTGCTCCTTCCGGAACCCGTGTTACCCAGGACGCTGTCAATGAAAGGGATGAATATGTCACGAGAGGGATCCGCTGATTGTACATACAGGACGACGCTATCGCTGGGTATGATATCTTCGACCAAAACCCGGAACCTGCTCTGTGATAATGTTAGTACATGATGAAATATCCCGGCAAATCAGAACATGCCTGTTTGGATGACGGACCCCTGATGTTAAGGTTGATATTGTCTCGGTAAGGGAGAAGGATTGGCTTGAATTCAATTGGTATCATTTGAGTCTCAGCCACCGAAGGCCGACCAAAATATCTAGAGCGGTTGGAACGGAATTGCTCAATAATGATGGTTACAGGGCCCGACTGGGCCCGGGCGTCGCAGCATGCCAGGATCGCAGAGAAGAACTCTGAATCTCCAGAGCAGGATTCATGTTTCAGAGGGAGCCATATTTCAATGCCGTGATTAGTGACAGTGAATGTTTGGAATCTCTCTTCCGCAGATGCCAATTCTCGTAATTTCCTTGAAGAAGACTTTTCGAGGGCAACCATGAAGTCGCTAGGGGACATCCGGATTACGCTTGAGCAATCGCGGAAGTGGCTGGGGTCATTTGCCAGGAAGCTGTGGGCCATCCCCGCGTTCCTTGTCCATCCCCAGGCAAATATGCTTTGGTCATTGGTCATTCGTATGACTTCCAACTGCAGACGGAGGAACGCGTTCTTCCCCTCCCCATACAACAATGGCATATATACGCCAAACAGTCCCAATAACGAATATGCACGGTCCTCTTCTCTCGTCGTCCTCCGGTCAGCGGCCCAGGACATAATTTGTGCTACACTGGGATAGGACCAACTGAGGCCCTTCTCCAATGCATCAACCGAAATCCGCGTGATGACCTTCAGAGTACGAGCGCACTTTCGCTTTCGGGTAACGAACTCCCAGTTCCGATTAAAAAAATGAACGTCTTCTGGGGCTATGAGTTCCTGTAGTGTCCATCCACGCGAGAACCACTTGGGCCACCCATTGAACTTGGCAAATTTATTGTTGTCGGGTTTAGTGGGAAGAGTATTAGCGCCCATGTCATGGAGGTATGCATAGCAACGGTCGGAATTCGCATACCACACATACATGGAATTGATAGCCTCGGAGAGTTCGGCACTGCTCCGTTTGTCGATGCAGCACGTATCCACCCAAAGCCAATCTAGCCGGTCGTCACGGGCTTGCAGGCAGCTCTTGAGAATTTTTTGGTATCCACTGCGCTTTCGTATCTCACGTCTGACGGCGACATCTGTCTTCGTAAGACTTTCCATCTCCGTATACTGTACCTCGTCTTTTGGTTGACCCCAGCAATGAGATAATATGGCATATGCTGCATTTGCGAGATCGGGCCCATTGAACTCCACCAGCAGCTGCGCGTTTCGTCTGGCTTTTCCTGCGTGGAATTCGAGAAAGGCCTTTACGTCGATCAGGCGCATGGTGCATCAACCTATCGGTAGATCAATACAGATCTCATGCAACGGGCTACTAATAGCAGGCGTACGCGGCAAGGAACGCAATAGCAAATGGAAATGCTAAACGGTCTAGCGGGTCGACTGTTTGATCAACGAGGCAAGAAGTAAAAATATTGAAGAACCGCGAAAGACGAGCGCTTATCTCGAAGCACTCAGCGGAGCGACAACATAACAACTCGCGTCGTCACTGGTCTCCCCTGGGCGAACCAAAGACTCGACGGAAGACAATCGTTCCCTCTCGACTCGTCGCCACTCATCCACTCATTCCACGTTCAGTGCGACCACGTCAGCACATACTTAGTCCCAAATACACATTGGTTGAAGGAACTTGTGTTCATGCTCACACACAAGAAAACGGACCATGGAGCGGACTATTTTCCTGCGCGATGGATATGGCGTTGGAGATTGAGAAAACGAATAGGAACCTGTTACTTAGAATGCGGCTGTATGTCTTCTTTTATTTATTTATTTTGCTATCGTTGCCATCGAAGACGTCTCTTTTTCTCTGCACGGACTTCCTGACCGACGTCGACGATGCTAGGTCGGTAACAGACAACAAGCTGACCTAATGGTTAAAGATCGAAAGATGACACGAAGAAAACACGATTAGGGACTCGAGATGGCGTTGGGAAATAATATGGTGAGGACCGCCGAGCCAGGGAACCCGCGTTGACCCCGATGCACATAAACTAATGAGGGGGCCGGACTGGAAAGGGGACGAGGCTGGCTTTCACCTCGACACGATTGCGTTTACAGGGATGTTCAGAACGATAGTCTGGTATTGCAATATGACTCGAGCAAATAATCGACTAGCTGTGTACACGTACAAGGAAACGGAATTCAATCATATCTCGGTCATAAAGGAGTCAATTTATTCCAACTGAGTAGACCAGCGATCCATTTGACTCGGAGCTCGGTGGTTACTCCCGCGTCATCAACCATCTTTTGAATAGAAAATACCTTCTTCTCGTCCCCCAGACCCTCCACGATGGCCCACGCTGACTCTGGAGTGTTGTCAAACTTCTCGCAGCGAGCCCCTCCGGGAACCCCGCGAAACTTGTGCATCAGTTCACACCTTGTCTGGGTGTGATATACAGATTCGTCGTCATCCGAAGCGGTTGTTACTAGTCGTAGTTGATCAATGGCTTCCTTCCCGCACATGTCGACGACGACAAGGAGGTTGCGCGCTTCATCGGCTGCGGACCTGAGATCTGAAAGGCAAGTGTAGATAATGCCTGTGAACCCAATAGACCTCCGGTATCTGTTTGGCCCAAAATTAGTGTAGTGGCGACAGCGAAGTGAGGCACTTGCGACGACACTACACGAGGAGCTTTCCTGTGGTTACCTCGAAGTTCTAAGACACCAAGGTCTGTATTTCAGGTAGGTAGGAGAATCCTCCCCGTACGTTAAGATACATGGCCTTTTTTATAGTAGAGAGAACAGGCACGTGATATCAGTAAGAATGGGTGTGGGTAAGAACTAGATCAATCACAAATGAGATATGTAGAAGAAATGTCAGAAGAATATTGAACAAGTGACGTGCAGCCAACAGCGTCGGTCCGAACCTTACAACCCCCCCTCCAGGGTACAAAGTACCCTTCCTTCATAGCAGGAGTCCTCAGGCAGTGTTTCCAGTGACAGCTTTGTCAGCAGTCCCCAAGCCAGCCACTGTGGCATCTTGCTTGGCACCTGTGACAGCTTTACCCGGCTGAGTCATTTCCTTGTTGCCCTCAGTACCCACAAATTCAGTGTAGCTCTTGTCGAAAGAGTCACCAAAACCTTCGACATCGCAGGCATCAACATTGAGCGGATCTATGGCGAGATGGCTAGGGCCTGTGACAGGTAAGTCAGTGAAGTTTTGGAAGAAAGGATTGGTGCTCATGGCAGCAGATGATATGCTCACAGTGGGTGTAGCCTGGCAATTATGGGCTTTAGATCGCTCATGGTGCCAGGCTGACTGAGAGAGGGGCTCGGAAGACTTCCCCATTTTTGTTTTATCCAAGTGTCGATCACCAAAGGGGGATGTGCCAGGATGTCCACCAAAAGGTCCTCTTTCAAAACAACCCTTGCCTCTTTTCTCTTGTTGCTCTAGGAAGCCATGCATGGTGCATTCACATTGATGCCCAACCTTGTCAGCAGCCTCCCATAGCAAACTATGCAGTGTAACTGCCTCTGTGCCATTAAGTACTTGTCCACCCTCAATCTCCTCTTTACTTTGCAGATCCATGTTGGTTCCAAGAACCTCTTCCCTAGTAGGTGCTGGGCCCATGATCACAGTGCAGGCATTTGGACTGGGTTCATGGTAAGCAAAATGTGACTTTGAGGCAGTGGACTGGTTGTATGCCTCTTGGAACTGATGATACCCTGCAGGTACATCAAGTGGGTTGCCATTATTTCCTCACAACACCCTATCATAGGTAAAGTAAGCTTTCATCTGCTCATGATGGACCAGCATGCACTGTTCTGCCTCCCCAAGACTGGTGGGAGCCCACACAGCAAAGAAGTCCAGGCCAATTCGCTCTACAGATAAGAAGCAGGTGGGGGTTGTCATGTCAGGTGAGTGGTGATCAGCAGTAGGTGGCTTGTCTATGTCCAGGCCAAGCAAGTCACTAATGATGTCTGCTAGCATGCATTGGAGTGTCTCTGAGGCATCAGGATCTAAGTCTCATGGACATGCAAGTTGAGTTTCGAGCGGTGACTGGGGTGAGCAACCCTTTGACTTTCTTTTTGGGTAGGAGGTTGGTTTATGACTACCACAGGAGCATGCCAGACAATATATGTGAGCAATGGCTTTGGCCAAGTGTGCAGGGGGTTTATGATTAGCAAACTTTGGTTGTGATGTGCTAGGAGGTCTATGATTGGTACATTCACCAAACTGCCCTTGATTCCTATGTGAGCTGACAGCGGGTGATCTAGGCCATGCATGGGCTCTGGCTCTCCCTTGTGGATGGAGAGTAGCGATGATGTCAACATGGCTGATGACTATGATGGCGAGGAGGCAAGTGGGAATGATGAGGCTGGGATGTGCAATGAGGGTAGGCAGTACAAGGTGGAGGCATGTGTTGTCAGGGATGGGTACAGTGATTTTGATTGGGGCTTTGTCTGACTGACCTGGGGATCTGGTGAGTAGACGGATTTCTATCATTGTGCAGGTGGTTTTTATAGGTTCCACTGGGGTGAGGTACCAAGTGTCCAAGGAACACCTGGGGGTCATCCTCAGATGATCCCCCATCACCCTTGTCTTGCAACTCATTTATCCCATCTATCCTGAAGGCCTTGAAATAATTGGCTAGCACCTTTAGATGAGCAACCTCATCAAATGGTAACCATGTTCAGTCTCCAGCTGTCCATTGCACCTCGAATGTTGCCTCCGAGTGGCTGCCACAATGACTTATTATCTGGTCAACAGCCCATTCTTGGCTTGTTCCTCTGAGCTCAGGGATTTGATCATCCTTCTGCCCAGGGAACTTTTGATCATCATTTGGTATGTGCACTCTCAGCAATGATGAATGAAACACATCGTGAATGCCTCTTTGTTTCAGGTTATCAGGTAGTTCGACATGATAAGAATTATTCCCGAAGTTGTCCAAAATGCAGTACAGCCCAATAAACTTCAGTATGAGTTTTTGTGATGTCCCCTTTGACAAGCTAATATTCTTTGTGGAGGCATATACAAGGTCACCTGTAACAAAGGGACACACTTGGCGCTTTTTATTAGCACCAACCATCTGTTTCAATTGCACCTTCAGAATTGTGTCATGAGCATCCAACAAGGTGAATTTCATTTTATTGGCAAATGCTCATATGCTCGGGTACTCATCTCTCATTGGAGCATCCCATATCATCTGTCAGGGCATCCATCTGGTATTCAGGAAGAATGGTGCATAGCCTGTTGACTCTGATGTTGCATTATTGATTGCAAACTTGATGGCAGGTAGGTGTGACACCCAATCTTTCTGATTCAGCCTGATGCAGCATCCCAGCATCTGGGCAATGGTTTGATTGGCACATTCAGTAGTGCCATCTGTTTCCAGATGGTATGCACTCAACATCTTCTGCTTAATCCCAATTAGTTCATTAAGGCATTTCCAGAATGTACTTGTGAATAAAACATCGCGATTGCTAATGATTGCTCGAGGTAAGCTGTGATGTTTATACACTTTGGCAAACATTAATTCTGCTACTTCACAGGCAGTGTATGTTGTTTGACTTGGCACAATGTGTACCATGGATGTTAACAAGTCAATGATCACCATTATCAAGTTGTATTCACCATCATGATCTTTGGATTTGGGGAGTGGTCCCACAAAATCTACTCCAATCACTTCCCAAGGCCTGGATGGTACAGAGAGTGGGTTCAGCAGTCCGAAGGGTTTATGAGTCAGCAGTTTGCTTCATTGGCATGTCTGACATGATGTGTAGTATGCAGTGATGTCCTTTACCAGAGTCCCACCATAAGAACTCTTGTATGTAGGATACCATTTTTCTAGCACCTAGATGCACGAGTAGGGAATGAGCTTGATCAATGACCGTTTCCCTTAATCATTTGTCATTTACTGCAATGTCCAGGACACAGAATACAACACAGTCTGGCAATCTTAATTGAATGAAACCATCTGGTGTGATTTCAAAGTTCTTGAATGCCTTTGGGGCATCCAGTATCTGTTTAAAGAATGGGTCTTTTCCATATCTGTTCTGTGCTTCCCTAAGTATGCCTTCATTTCCTGGGTACATGATGAGGGGCATGAGATTCATTTCTGTATTGCCTGCCATGCTTGTATTGCTTGTATCATCTAGTTCCCACATGCTTGGCAATGAGCTCTGTGTGTCTGGCAATGTGTCTGTAGCATGTTCAGGGGGTGGTCCACTACCCTTTCCTGCCTTCTTTGGTTCGCCTGGTCCAAGAAGAATGAAACAATCCTTCATTCATTGTGCAAACTCAATTCTGGTCTCCAGTTGACCAGTCTCAGCTGGGTGTGTAGGAGCATGGCATTGCTGTACAGGTCCCTTTCCTGTTCCCTCCAGCTGATCCTTAGCAGGTACTTTTATCTTGCCACCCTCATCCTTGGGTGGATTTGGGTCTATTGTTGGCACAGAATGTTGCTTCACAATCTCCAGTGTGGGAGGTCTCCTTGGAGGTTTTAGCACC